ATTTGAAAATGAAAAAAAATTTTGCTATATGTTGTAGATTTGAACTTACCAATTTTTATATCTTCTTACATCCTTTTAAAACTTTCCTATACATTTTTATTTTATAAAACTGCAAATTTTATCTTTGTTTATTCATTCAAAAAACACATGCAGTTTCATTATGTTTACAGTCATTGACTTATGATAAAAATAACTTTTTTTACCATACCAAAATTATAAGCAAGCCAACTTTTTCTTAATTGTTAATCAAATAGTTTCATTTAGCATATGTAGTATGTTTTAAACCTATTTTGTATTATTTTATAATGATTTATATATTTTTTTACTTTTCATTTCAGTGATTTTCTTGCCCATTCAAGCAGTTACTTAGGCTGATAAGATTTAATGTAAACATGTCCTAACATAGCAGTCTTGTTGGTGAAGCAAAACTTAATCAATTGAGTGTAAAATGCTTAACCTAAGCCTACCTCATCTTATTCCACAAAAACATTTCTTATCATACTACAACATCATAATTCAAATAAAGTATAAAATTATAAAGCAAGCTTGAAAGAAAAAAATTCAAGGCTGCAATTATGGTAGAAGTTTTTCACAAATGTACTTTTCTTTTAGCAATATATCAACAAGTTAAACTTTTATCATTTTATTTCAATCTCTACACAAATCTCCACTGAACTGGAAGCCATAATAGATCATACAGTTGAAAAGAACAGTAAAAATGCTTTTATTATATGTTTAGATCACTAGCCTATGCCTTCTCAAAGCTGAAATATAGGCACTTACTTGACACTATAACAATATAGGTTAGGAAACAGTGATTGGGTAAAACATATAAAACTACACTTGTTCAATGACGAGGAACCCACTTTGAGACTAATAATGGCTGGAGACGGCTTGAATGGGTAATGAAGAAAAACTTTAATATAAGTTTAACATAACAGCAAATGTACCACGTTTCGACAAGGTTTTGTCATCATCAGGTACCCATGGCAAAACCTTGTCGAAACGTTGTACATTTGCTGTTATGTTAAACTTGTATTAAAGTTTTTCTTCATTACCCATTCAAGCCGTCTCCAGCCATTATTAAACTACACTTGTATTGAACGTACAAAGTATAAATTAGTACTGTTTTGTTGAAAACTATTTCAACTTCCAAAATGAATACCTCTATACACAGATGTATTCTGCCTGAGAACTTTGCATGCCACCAGCTTTCTAAAAAATTCCACCTAATTTCATGTGTGTCACTTGCATTTGCACTATTACATGATGACGTACAACTCAGCAAACCCTCCACTAATAGGAGTGTGGCACACCTCTATGCATAAATACTCCCTCTATATTCAAGTGGAAGAATTTTCATTCTTTTCCTCAACACAGTTGTATTCAGATGTGTTTTGAGTTTGCTGAGATTTGAGATTTTTTCTCAACTATCAAAATTTCAGTTTGATTGAGTTTAACTTAACCATTAGGATTTCATAGTTCAATATGAACTCTATCTATGCTAATGTGTCTGATGAGATTCTTCTGCTGAAGTTCTTTATCTGGAAGAATGGCCATCTTGCATCATGCGGTGAAGTCCTTATGCAGCGAGGACCCTCTGATTTTGTCCATTCAACTCATTTCCTTTTCTGTTTTTTTTTTTCAGGCCTGATAGCGAAGAGAATGATTTTTAGTGCTTTTTTTTCCACCCAACTTGCTGAAAATAATTCTCTACCTATTGAATATCTTTCAACTTTTCCTGCTTGCATTATGTAAACCTTTTACTTATGGTTTTTTTCTTCTCCCCTACGAGTTAGTTCTGTACCCACCATTTCCTTTGGGTTCAATTTCACTCCTGCTGTTTTATGCCTCCTCCTAGCTGTCTTACCAAGTAACATATAGAAGTTACTCTTTAGACATAGTTTATTCCTCCTTAACATGTAACTGATAAAGCTTAATGATGTTTAGACATTGTTTATTATTCCTTATCATGTCCACATAGAGTATAATGTGTAAACATAATTACTTAATCCTTAACATATACCACATAGTATATTCTGTGTAGTCATAGTTCATCACTCCTTCACATGTACACATAGAAGTTGATGTTTGGTCACATATAATTACTCCTCACCATGTAAACATAAATGTTAATGTTTAGTTACAGTAAGTTACTTTCTAACATGTAACACAGAAGGTAACATGTAAATCTATTTCATTACTTCTTCGCATGTCCACATAGACTATAATGATTAGATCTGGTTAATTACTCCTTCACATACAATTAGAAGATAAGGTTTAGACATAATCAATTACACCATAACATGTCACACACTGTAAATAATGTTTCTTTGTGATTACCCACTCCTCAACATGTACACATAGAAGAAAATGTTCAGATGTAGTTTTGGACTTATTCCATTTGGGTGAGTTTCATAACTTGTCATGTTCTGGGGGCATTGCACATCATCACAGGCTTTATTCTCGACATGACTGCATCCTACATGTGGAATGGTTCCTCACCCACTAGTCTTCCATTGTTCTGCTTTCAACTTGTTACTCATCTTTTTGTTACCTTTGCCACACACCTTCTCCTATGCTTCATTCCATAACCCTGGCTGTCTATGCCCTCAGTCAGAACTGGTCCCATCTTTTTCATTATGCCTTCTCCCTTAGGTCCTTGCTCTGTTTCCTTTTGATATCCCCTCAGAGGTGGTCCCAACCATGGTTTCTGTTTCTCAGTCTCCTCGCATCTCAGTCCTAACTTCCCCTTTCCAACATTCCATCCTTTCTGATCCATCTTCACACATCACTTTTTCCTTGAGATGTGACATCCCTTTATCTTTACATGTGGAATTTGTCCTGTCCACTTTCTTGATTGTGTCACTGTCCCTTTGTCCCACTCCTGTCACCCTTCTACACTTCTGTGTGCCAATGTACAGGGTGTACTTATCACTCTAATCTCACTGTCCCTTTAGATTGCATTGCATTGTAACATATTCCTCCTCTTTCACAGGCTTGTTCTTCTGTGAACTGTATGCCACTTTTGTCTCAGGTTTTTGGGTGGCATTTCCACCACCTTCTGCCTTTCTGATATTGCAGAATAATTTTTTCACTGACTATTTTCTTTCTCTTTTAGTCCTTCCTTATCCACTGACCCCCTTTTTACATCTTGTCTGACTGTATTATCACTGTGGTTTTCCATTCTCTTGCCTGGGTACCTATTGAACCTCTAGCAGATGTTTCCTCTCCATGGGCACATTAGTCCTCTTTTTACTTGCCTGTGATTGCCATTGTTCACATATTTATGCCTTTGTTTCCTCCCACCTTCTCATTACCGGTGTTACCTTCTTCGTCCTAGCTAGTTTTTCCTTCCCTAATATTCCATGGCAAGGGATGGTGGTCACTCATTTATTTCTAATATCCCATCCTCCTCTTTCCTTTCTTGGTGTTTCTTCTGATCTGGACAGATACTTGTGCCCTGTCTGAGCTGCTCAGTGTTTTGTCACTCTCTTCCTCCATTTGCAGTTTCTCTCACTGTCTTTCTGTACCTTGGGACCCTTTCTCCTTCCCTATTACAGGTTGGATTTGTCAGCTTGAATGTTTCTTATATGCCCCTCTGGAAGCAGATGATTGTCTGCTCACTCGTGTCTCCTCTCTTCAGCTTTTCTCCTCCAAATTCTCTTACCCTTCTCTTTCCTTCAGGCTAGAATGTGGACTACCCCACACCTCTTCATCACCCACTATTTGGATTTCTTGACTATCTTGTCTCTCTTGGGATATAGACTTTGACTCATGGACATTTTTCAATCCACCCTCAGCCTGTTGGCACATATTCCTCATTTCACTGTCACTATAGGATACTACTAAATGGCTAATGTTCCCCCCCCAATCTCATCAAGTGAACCATAGAAGACCTTAACCCTTAGCAGCTCAGAACTGCTGGGGTATTTTAGTACAGTACTAATTCTATGAATGCAAAATAATCTTGCTTTAATACAGTACTAATTCTATGTATGACAAAATAACCTTGCTTTAATACAGTACTAATTCTGTGAATGCAAGATGACCTTCTGTTTCACTCTCTGGTTCCTCATTTTTGCATATTTAAAATCTTTTTCTCACCATCCTCCTATTCCCTTTCATACCTCACCTTTTGTCTGAAGCACTTCACTGTGTTTCAGAGGGGATTTCTTTAGAAGTTTATTCCCTTCTTTTTTTGCCAGCTTAGTCTGTTTCACCTTACTTTGTTCCCCTGATGTCAGGACTTGTTGGTTCAAGTTACATTTCTCTTTACTGTACAACTTTCTCCTTCTTGTGTACATGATATTCATTGAGCTCCTTTTCTTCACATGGAAATCTTCAATGGTGTTAATTTCTCTCTAGAGACCTGGACTTCAGTCCTCATTATCTTCCCAGGATTTTCCTCTCTCTCAACCTTTCCTTTTACTCCTGTTCCTCATCTGGATTAGTTTACCCCTAACCTTTCCTTTCCAGGTTTCAGGCCTTCCACTTACTCTTCCCTCTGACATAGCATCAGCCCCTTTTGTATTCATTTGTATCATGAGGGCCTTCGCTTGCCATATTCACAGCCAGTGCTGGCATTCCTTTTCTTCAACGATTATTGACTTTTATTGGACCATTTTCAGATGGTATCCTCTTCTCACACTACCCTTTTTTACAGGAGACAACTCAATTGGGGTGGCTTGTCATGAGATCAAAGTCCTTTCTCACACCCATTCAATATTTGGTACTTCTGAACATTTTCTTAATCTCTTGTCTCAGCCAATTTCAGCCCCCTTCTCTTCACCTGCAATCTATGGTGTATCTGGTCACCTAAATTTACACTTCTCAATCTTATCCTGTACGAAGGGATTTTTTTGCTTTTGGGGTCTTTGGCTTCATTGGAACCCCTCATTCCTTTGGGAGAGCACAAGCATGTGCCTCCTCCAGTGGACCTTGTGGATCCAAGGGATTTTTTCTTGGGTTCCATTGTCCTCATTTTTGAAACTCTCCTCTTCTCAAGGAATTGTCATGGTGACTGGACCATGCCCATACTACTTCCAACATTCCCTTACCAACTGGATCTTTCTCTTCACCAATGCTTTTTTCTGTGATTGAAGTGCATCTCTGGATGAAGACATGACTTCTGGTGTTTGGACACAGAACGAGTGTTCACTCCACATCAGTATGATCAAATTTCTCACCGTTCCCATTCCTGCCCCTACTGGTAGACTGCATAGTCACATCCCCTCCTCTTGCAGCCAAAGCCTGTTTAGTAGAGTCTGTGTGGTCTGATGACGTCATTATGCACCAACTCAGTCAAACACTTGAATTTAGGTGGAATTGCTTCAAAGTTAGTGGCATGCAAATCTTATAGGCAGATATGCAAGGAAGGTAGCATTTCTATTGAAAATACATTTTCAGATTAAGAAAATGTTAACTTTAATACTGTACTAGTTCTATGCATGACAAAGTAACCCTGCTTTAATACTGTACTAATTGTATGTATGACAGAATAACCTCACTTTAATATAGTATCAATTCTAATCATGAAAATATAACCTCACTTTAATATAGTATCAATTCTAATTATGAAAAAATAACCTTACTTTGATACAGTATCAATTCTATTCATGAAAAAATACCATGCTTTGATATAGTACTAAGGTTCTTGTTCCATAGTAAATTTGATAATTTCTGCCACTCACTTCCAGCATGAATAACAATAAACTTTTCATTTACAAACTATTTTTTTTATGGTATTAATATATATTTGATTCATATATAACAATCAATTTTTTAAAAGTTTTTCTCCAGTGTCATATCTGTGTCTTCAGGTGTTTTAAAGCTAATGTTATTCTTGCCAGAGTTTTCTCAGGGAATGATTTTGCCAACAAAAGAACAAGCCAAGACAACTTCTAATGTTTTGAAAGTAACGCCCACAAAACAAGTAAGACAGAATTCTTATATTTGTTTTAAAAACTGCATTTTTATATCTGCTTTGATCATATTTTGCAGTATTCCTAAATACATTTCCAGTAGAGACTATATTGTCAAGTAATACCCATCTTGTATTTTCTCACGTCTTTTAACTCTAGGTTTACGCTACATCAGAAAACTTGGAAAGAAAAGGGATGAGACTTGACCTGACTGAGTTAAATATGACAGAATCTTTCAAATGCAAAGCTGAAGAGTTCTTTAGAGCACTCACAATAAAAGAGGTATTGTAGTTGGTTTCAATATGAAAATTTAAAAAATGTAGATTACCTTAACCCTTTCCACTATGTGTCTCAATATTGTTGTTAATTTAGAAAAGAACTCTGATATTTCCTCTTAAATTATCTACAATATTAGACTATAACTGAAATTTTGAATTTTATTTTGATGTTTTTTTTTAAATGTAGTTTGATAAAATAGAAATAAAAAATTCCAAAGATCACCCCACCCCCTCCATTGTAATTTTTTGAGGACTAGAGATTTCCTATCTTGTATCTAAAACTTGTCAACAAATGAAACAAAGCTGCTTTGTACATTTTCTTATAGTTTAATAACACTTAACTTTTGAAGTTTGTGGTGTCAAGAAGTGAATATATTGAACTTGAAGCAATTTTTGTTTTCCAACTTCCAGGCTTATAAATCTAGACAAATCATAAATATAATGCTCGAAAGCTGGGATCATGTTCTTCCTCACAATTTATTTGATGTATAGCCACCTTTCTCTGTTATGTGGATTATCAGTTTCTGAACTGGTTACATCAGAAGGGGAGGGTACTGTGACCATATTTCTTCAGCCACTCTTATTAGATCATGGTCTTGTATTGTTTACAAGCTACAATGAAATAATATGTTAATTTTATTGGTTTCTCTATTTGTTTATTTTATTGAAATAATTACTTTGGCACTTCCTTTGTTGCTTTAGAAAAATTCCTGCTTATAATTTGAAATTAATGGTTCTTAATACACTGGACTTCTCCAAGTCATAAACTTAGAAATCAGTGGGTAGGTTTGAAATAGTTGTATTTAATTTCCGATAGGATAACAGAAGTGTCTTTTATAAATAACTTATAGTGAGACGTATATACTTTAGTTTTAACTATGTAAAAGACGGTAAAATTTCTTTGTAACAAAATGGGCTAGCACATAATGTTATTAAACTAGTGATTGTATTCCACTAATGCAAAAACATAATACATATCTTTCCTTCCTATAGCACAATTTTAAAATTTTTTATAAGTAGTGATTTGGAACATCTTAAATCTGGTTGAGATCACGAGTTGAATTCAGCCTGAGGTGTTATGTTTTGTAGCTTGATCAATCAAGTTACTTATGCATTATTAATGTGATAGTGGCATTGTGTTTTTAAATGACATGGTGTACAGAGGGTATCTTGTGACTGTCACATGAAGTAGACATTCTGCATTCTGATGTCATTTTTCTGATTGGTTAACTACAGAGAAATTGTGATTGTGAGGGCAGTTTTAACTAGGGATGCACAAGTAGTAAAATTTGGTTGAATGCTGGGTCCGGGTACCCGGCCCCCAAGCTTCGGCCAGGTGTCAATTGGGACCATTTTTTCCCTTTGCCCCCCCCCCCCCAAAAAAAAACATACACAAATTTGAAACAAAAATGAAATTGACGTTTATTACATTTAACTGAATAATCACCAATAGAACATTCCAGTTTTACTTTCAACTTTCAAAAGTAACTAACAAAAATGTGCAAACCAGTTTGCAGAATGCCTGTATTTTTGGAATTTGTTTAAATTGTACTTGAGGAACAGTGGCATTTTTGGGTAAAAATCCTTGACCTTTAGTGTGTTGTAATGTTGCCAGCAGCGCTAACAGTCCATTTGCTATCTACACTGGTCAGAGGTGCAGAGAGATAACTCCTTGCTATCCTGGCCATTGTGGGAAATAGAGCTTAATTTGACTTCCAAAAGTAAGGCCAGTGAAAGTAAAGCAGAAACAGTGATGTTGACACGTTTTAGAATCATTATTCCAATTAATACCTAGCCCCAACTTCTCAAACCCTAACCCCTATTGTTCTCAAAACCCCCACAATCCCCAGAAATCCACTGCTCAAGCCATGCCTATTATTAACCTCTATTGTTCTTTGAATCCCCAACTTTCATCGGGCAGTCAGTCTTTGTTGCTTGGAGCATGTTTTTTTAACTAAATCAATTATTGGCTGTAACTTTCAGTACCGCGTAAGTTGCCACAAAGATTAGGGCTTAGATGCCATTTTCAGTTACCCGGATTCGAGTATCACCGGGTAGCCCGTGCATCCCTAGTTTTAACTCTTTTGGGAATATTAGCTTTTGCTTTTAAAAGTCCAGGATGCTAAGTGTTTATTTTCATTCCAACCTTTCATTTTCATATCTTAATTAAGAGTCTATTTTAGTATTATTTTACCTTAATTCACTTTTTTTTTTCAGTCCAAAGAAATTATGAAATATGAAAATAAACGTTACTTTGGCTAACGTGTTTTTTGAAGTGTCACATTTCAGATAACAGATACTGGCTGAAATGATGCCACTAGACTGACATTACTGATCTGATTTGAAACATGAATATATATGACATTTTCATTTACGTAAATTTCTAAACATAGTTTGTAATTATAAAATTACTTCAGAATATGAGGAGGTTTAAAAATTTTCTCACTTTGCTTTGATTACAATGGTACTTGGCAGTCCTGATTTTTTTCATCATCTGAATTAATATAGTTGTTCTTTCCTTAAAACTATCAGTTATAGGTTAAGCTTTGCTGAATAGTGAGAAAATTATCTAAAAACTACTTCACAGATAAGTTCAAATACAAATATAGATATATAGCATTCTGGAAATTAAGTAATCTTGAATATTATAATTTGTCTGATTTAGATGGTTCAAGCTTTTACTCAGGGCCCCTGCCAGCTGGAACTTACAGAAGGAGGAAAGTTTTCGTTGTTTGATGGAAATGTTCATGGTATTTTTGTTGAGTTGGTATGTTTCTTTTTTTGGGATGGTATTAAAATTAGATTATTGTATTTGCAAAAAGTGTTCATTATCGTAGTTTATTAAAATTACTTTTGTCATTAGTATTTTAATCACAAAAACATATTTTTCAAGAGTGTACTGTACGACTGAAATATGTTTGGTATTTTTTGTTTTTAAATGAATTTTGAATGTAGTAATGGCTCAAGTGTCTTAAGGTTGCACTATCATAGAGTTGAGTAGTTTTATAACACAGTTCTCTGTTTACATTCAGTAAAAGATACAATTTCTTTGTTGCATCTTGTAATATTACACTGACTTTACTTGAAAAGCATTAGCTAAAATCTTACAAGGAATTGACCCATTCTAACAGATTCCCAATAAAAAGATTGTTCAGAAATGGCGTTTCAAGACCTGGCCAAGTGGTCACTATTCTGATGTAACCCTGGAAATAACAGAAAAAGAAGATTCAACTGAAGTGAAGCTGACCCAGAAAGGGGTTCCAAGAAATGAATTAGAACAAACTCGAGAAGGATGGAAGAATTACTATTGGCAGAGCATGAAGAGGGTATTCGGATTTGGAGCAATGCTTATCTGATAACATGGTAGTTGTAATAAAACAATTGTGTAGTTGTATTTAATTTTTCCATTATTTCTCATTATGTATAAAAAAAATATTAAAAAAGTCTCAATAAAACATCTCTCAGTTAGAAAAAATTGGAAAGTGTTTATTAAAGACACTTGTTCTGTAATTAATCCACTTTTTTAGCTGTGACTGAGTTTTTTTTCAAGTACAGACTTTTCACTCATAGGTCCATCATCTCTTGACCAATTTGACATCTAATTACAGTTTTGGATTCAGGAGTTCAAACCCTTTTGATTGATGTATTTGACCACACCCAGGGTCTTGTGCTGATTAATTTACTCTAATCCTACATAAAAGAATTTCAATTTGAGGTTAGGCTAGTAGATGAGTAATAAAATCGAATTGGATATATGTGTGCCCCACGCTTTGTATTGTTGGCACACACAAGTATAGCTAATAAAAAGGGGAAAAAAGGTCTCATAGATTAATTTACTTTAATCCTGCTTAAAAAGATTTCAAGTGCTGTGGCTTTTGAGGATTCCCTCAATATTCAACTGTTCTACAAGTCCCTCTCCTTCTCCAATTGAGTCACTAATTTAATATTGGAAATACTGTCATGTATATTATAATTATCTAAATGTAAACACTTTTCTAGTTGTTTTTTTCCTTTAGTCAACATAACATTTATTTGTTAAACCAAGAATATCATAAGAGTGTAAAAGAAACTGAACAATTAAGAAAAACATTGATAGTAAAATTATAGTAAAATATATTTAAAATCTACACATTATAAAACTTTTTACCTACAAAGAAAAGCATTAAAAAATATTAAATCTACTAAATAAATGAATGTTACTTATTTCCAATAGTTAAAATTTGCTGTGAGTGTTTAAATGTCATAGTTATTCTTTTTTACACAATAAGTATTAATTATGATTGTAAAACTTAAGTGACAGAAGGAAAATTTACAAAATGCTATGTTTTGGGATTTTCCTACCATCATGAAATGATCAGATTTATCAGAAAGTTTTGCTGTTTTAATTTACAGTTATAAAAATATATTCTTAAAAAATAATTCTTCCTCCCAAAACAGTTTTATTACTGTGGTTTCAGTAGAACGTTTCCTATAATAATAGAGGTAGCACAGTTTCAAATTAGATAAACAACTAAGAGAATAGTGAATGTTGAAAATACATTTACCTTTATAATATCAGTTTGTAAGAAAACAAATAAAACAGTTCTTTTACTGATAGATAATAGAAGTACAATTTTTAATTGTAAATAAATTAAAACCAATTTAACAAAAACTTAAAGACAGTCACACAAGGCTGAGAAAGGTTTTGTTCTTTTGAGGTATCACGATGTATGTTTTGAAACGACTCCTTGCAGTTTCAAGATTTTAGGGGGATTTAGTGTGTTGCATAGGCAAGTGTCAAGTACTGTAAGAATGGGAGTTAGTGAATAAGGTCTTGTTTGTAATCGTGACTTGAAAGTGGACCAATATCCAAAGGTCACTGTTTTGCAAGTAAAGAGCAGCAGGACCCTCAACATTAATTTAGTTTTTTATCAATATCAATAATTGGACACCTATGGACATCAAAATTATAATACAATTCTCTGTATGTGCAAATGATTCTAGTCATAATAAAATAATTAAACAAAAGAAACATGCAGAGTTAAGGAGCTGAAACACTACGTTTATATTTTCATTATTAAAGTTCTTACTACTAATACAAATAAGTTTTAGATATTTCCTACTTGTACACCCCAATATACAACACATGAGCTGAGCCAAGTTCCAGGCTTACCCATCCTTACTTTACAACTATTGACCAGGTGGTGAGCAACCAGTCAGCAGCGTCTGCCACCTACGATGCTACTTTGACTAAAAATCAGAATTGACTGCTACAATTATAATGCCTCCACAGCATTTGATACCTCAAGGTTTGGACCTTCTGATCCACTGACCATAAGACTACACCTGGCCTGGCCAGTTTCGGGAAGGATGTAGTTTTACTAGAGTAACAAATATATTTTTACAATCCCACATTTAAAATACACGACACCTGTCAATGTTTTGGCATGTAGCTAAAATAATTATGGTGTTGGTTTATCAACAAACTGTCAAACAAGAACAGCTCTTTTTATGTATTTAGTAAAACAGTAATAATGCATAATTTTATCAAGTGTGTGTGTGTGTATATAAAATCAAAACAGTTATAAGTTTCCATTTGTGAATATAAATAATAAACCAGTACAATCTTTGAACTCTGGTTTTTCACCTTTTTTATTATTTTCCTCCACCACTCTCAACACTTCAAAGGTCACTCTTCAGGATGTAATTTTACAGCTAATCTACAACAGACATTTTCACTTTTCAAACAAACATGAATTAAAGGCATATTTTTCAAAATGTACAAGAATAAAATACAATATTTATATAAATTAAATACATTAATATGTAATCGAAAATAAATTGGAAAAGATTGGCAAATATACTCTTTTTCTATTCCTTTATCATTTCTTATTAGAATTTTATTTTAATTACACTTTCTCCTGTTGTTATAGAAGAATAGTTTACCTCTTGCTTTCTTGTTCTTTTTGTGATACCCAGTAATAGTTTTTACAGTTGCACAATTTCAACTATTGTTAGTTTTGTTCTTTTACCTCTGTCTGTTTAATTTTAGAAATATTCTTCAAAACTGAATCTTTTATGTTATATTCCCAAAAAGGGAACACAGAAATGCTCAAAATGCATTCATTAAAATGTCTGCTGGTATATATGGTTTGTTTTTTTAAGAGATTTAACCAAATTTATTTGCAAACTTAAATTATCTGTTCTATCAATGTAAAATTCACCACAATTAGAACATTTTGAAAGATATATTACACTTCTATAATTGTAATTAAATAAATTACCAATAAAAAATATTATTTTTCTTTATTGTTTTTATACTTTTGAATTAATGTACATTACATGAACTACAATTTTTTCTTTCAAAGGTAGACTTAATCTCCTTAATTATCAAATTTAAAATCCCAACAAGCATAGTAAAATTTTGAGTATCCTTCTACATCCCACAATAATCATCAAGAAATCATTTCTAAATTTGTTACAAAATTCTCTTCAAAATAATTAGGTAATATATTAAATAAATGTATCTCAAAAAATCCCATAGTGATAATAGCATGAGTTGAATCAACTTTTGTGCCCATTGCTGTACCAAAAATTTAATGCTAAATTTGTTCCTCATTAGGTAATATATTAAATAAATGTATCTCAAAAAATCCCATAGTGATAATAGCATGAGTTGAATCAACTTTTGTGCCCATTGCTGTACCAAAAATTTAATGCTAAATTTGTTCCTCATCAATAAAAAGAAAAAAAATTAGGATTAGATCTAAATTTTTTTAAGATAAAACTTTTATTGAACCTGGGAAGAATTAGTTCCATGTATGGATCCAGAAAAAATTCCACAGCTTTAAGCCCAGCTACTACGTCTAATGAAACAAATTTTTTATTTTTTTTTGGCAGCTTTTAAATAAATTTAAAATCACATCAAACAGTACTCAGAATATGTGATAAAAACGTTTTAATTTGTTCGTAAGATCACTTAAATATTCTGTAATTTTTTATTCCCTCTTTACAATCTGTCTTCCAATATAAATATATTCACTTCTTGTTTCCAACATTTTTTTAAGTGCTTTTAATTTATGGATCTTTGTAACAATATAAAAATATCCAATTTTTGACTTATGCAAAGTAAATTTTTTCAAAGTAGATTTTTAATCTCGCCTAAGATTCTTCAACAAAATTCGCTAATTTTTTCTAATGGAATTTAGGCATCTCTTCATTTAAACCTCCTACTCTTGTATCATTCAAATGTTTATAAATCTGATTATAAAGTTGTTGGATCATTATTACCCATACCTTATCTGATTCAAATCCTCAACTTTTTTAACAATATCCATTGCTTTAAAATTATCTTTCCCTTGTTTTTCAGTCGTTTAGGAATAATCCCTTTTATACAATCAAAATTTGATTTTGCTTTTACTGAAGATTAATTTTTATTTGAAACATCATAAAATATTTTGTGTAAATTCATACATATTTTCTGTTAATTTTATTTGTTAGGCTTAGTTGTGGTAGTAAATGTTAATCCTCTTGTTAATAACTTTATTTCATTTTCATCCAAATTATTTTCTGTTAGATTAACAATTTTTTAAAAATACTGAACCTGGTTATCTAAAAGTTTTTCCAACAGTGTCGTATGTTTTTCTAAATAACAGATCTTTTGTAAAATTACTTTTCTTCCTCCATGTTTCATAGCTTCCACCCTATTAAAGTTGTTTTATGTAAATCTTTAATTTTTCTAACCTTTTATCTTGTGGTGACTTTGAACGTATCTCTTATAGTAGCACTTCTTGAATTTCATCTAGTGTTGTTATTGTTCTGTCATTTATTCTCCATTTCTATGAGCCTCCCAGTAGCTCAGCAGCTAGCCTTTTGGCTTATAATGATAAAATCCCAAATTTTGATACTCGTGATGAACAAAGCACAGATAGCCCATTATGTAGTTTTGCACTTAACAACAAACTAACAAAACCATTTTTATGAATTGTAACATGAATTACATTCGCCTTTCCTATTAAAAGCCTCTTGAAAAGGATCCCCCCCATTAATACCTTTCAAATGTTTAAAGTGCTGATAGAATACTTGAATAATTTAAGTACAATGGAAGACAGGGAAGAAAAATTTAAAGGAAAATTATTAAAATGAAGTGAAAGATTCTCAAGGGCACTGTAATAAGAAAGGAGAAAATAAATACAACTACAATTCACAAAAATAGAGAAGAAATGACAGATACAATAACATAGATGGAATCTGAGATGTTGCTTTAGGAGATAAATATGTTACCATAAGATGAAAGGAGAAAAAAATGAAAGATTTACTCACAGAAACTTTAATAGTATATGAAGCATGGAGGAAGAAGAGAAAGATTTACGCAGACACTTAAGAGTT